ATTAAATAAAAATACCTGCATTAGACACAGGACACCAGGAGTGTGTATTTTGCTGATAGACAGCAACAGATTAGCACCGGAAACTCAGCCAAGAATGTGGGAGAACTGAAGACAACACGGGGGAGTTAAGAAGTCCAAACATTAAAAACAACTCCTGCACCAAAGAATTCAGAGATAGGTCACCCACACAACCCCCTGATATTCACAATCAGTGGGCTGTGCTGTCAATACCAGGTAAACCAGTAAAAAAGTATATCAATTTAAAACTGCTAAGTGGGTAAAAGTGCATGGAATAGGGACAAACCAGGACACTGTAGGAAGGCACAGAAAAAATTACCATCTATCACCCAGTGATTAAAGGCAAGTGTGCTGCAAGGTTACCTGATGGAAAAGCTTTACTGAGACTCCTCACAGGCTGCTACTGAGAGAGGGAGGAGTGAAAGGAAGATCTATCAAGCCAACAGCAGAACCTCCTGAGGCTCCTTGCTTCCATCAGAAGCCATGGAAGAGAGTAAAATGGGCAAGGACAAACAACTCATAGCACCAAAACAAAAGTGACAGCAAGGAGACAGAGCAGGAGACCAGCAAATGGGACAAAGAATACAACAGACACTGCCCACCCAGGACCAGACCATGGACTTTTGATACGTGTGGGAAAGAAACATCCAGACTTCCTGAGGAAGGGAGGCTGTTCAAGATAGTGTGAAAGTAAAGGCAAGCACAAGGACACTGCCAGAGATAACACACTTGGTTAGGGAGGCTGATGGCAAAGCCTGGATTACTACAACACATGGTAAAGGATGATAAAAGGGAATTCTACATTTCTGGGTGCTCCCACTCATCTGACCACATAAAAATGAGCAAACTTTCCAGGAAGCTGAGACACCACTTTTCTCAGTGCATCATTAACACTGGAATTTGTAGCACAAAGGCTAAGACATCAACAGAAACCAGAGACATGCAAGCAGAATGGAAACACAGCTTCAGTCTCTGGGGCAGACATAACTTCAGCCTTTCCAGTTAACCCTCAGCACCAGCTCAGCTCCTACTCTGATCAGGTCACTTGGAAAACATCACAGAGCCACACAACTCAACACAGAGCCATCTTGCCTCAAGAGTAGCACATTCCAAACCTGATTCCCCTCTTTGAAGCTAAGTCCAAAGTCAATGAGCTTAAAGCACTCCTCCTCTGCACTCCACAGGATGTTGCGTGGCTTGAGGTCTGCGTGCACATAGCCTTTGTGGTGCAGGAAAGCCAGGGCTTCCAGGACATCTCGGGCGCAGTGCTGGATCATCCACATGGAGCAGCCCTGGTTGCTGGAGTGCAGCAGCAGCTCGGACACGCTGATGTCCAGCAGCTCCAGGAGCAGACAGCGAGACGGGCCATTGGCAGAGTAGTGGTTGGTGAACACGCCATAGAGTGTCACTACAACGAGACACGGGGACAGGCATGGGTAACGAGCACCAGCCAGCACCTCCCACTGCTCCACACGACAACAGCTGCAGCAGGCAGCTCAGATGTTTTGTAACGGGTGATGTTCAGAGAGATGGAGAACCAGGGAGGAAGAAGCAAGGGAAAAGCAGCCATTTCACCCCTACGAGCTTCAGAGGACAAGCTGGTCTCACAACACTCCCCAGGCTCTGCTAAAGTGACAGGGCTGAGCGCTCCTGCTCAGAAGGACAGTCTCTGGGACATGGATAAGCATATCCCAGTGGGCAAACTGGACACAGTGCCACTCTTTAGAGACCTGTCAATCTCACCCAGTGACAGACAAACTTTGCAGAGTGGGAACCCATGTGCTGTCTGGGTGCCCAGGCATTAAAAAGCATTTCATGCCAACAAAAAATATCAGTGGTGGGTGAACTTTGGCACTTCCAGCAATCACCTCTGACACACAGCTTCCTCCCTTCCCAGGCCCATTCCCACCCAGGGAAGCAGCCCTGGAGCTGTAGCACATGGGAACACACGGTCCCACAGCTGGCCCGCAGGGACCCCAGTCCTTGCTGGGGCTCTGGCACCCTGCCCAAAGGAGGGCTCCAGGGTGCCCCGCCTGCAGGGACCGCCTCTGCCCATCTCTCCTGCCCACCCTGGAGATGTCACTGCAGAGCCCCCACCCAAGGAAGGGGTGGGGTACCCAGGACCACCCACTGCAGGGAAGCTGCTTTGGAGTGTCCAGGCGAGGGTCTCTAGAATCTGCCCACCCAGGGGTGCCAATCCGAGGGGCATATTGACCTGGGAATGCGTCTGGGGGCGAGGCTGCCTGTATTCCCAAAGCAGTCGGGAGTTCCCTTCCCTGGCTGCGAGGGCGGTCTGGAGACACCAGTTTGGCAGGGGGAGCCTGCCCTGGGGGTGCTCTAGGGACAGAGAGTGCCCGAGTAGGGGTGATCGGGGGAGTGGGGCAGGGGTGCAGGGGTGCCGTTACCGATGTTGCGGTGCCCGCGGAGCTGCTCGAGCGCGGCGCGCTCCTTGCGGAACCCGTACTCGGCGCAGTCGGCGGCGGGCGGGCGGGCGCCGGGGCGGCGAGCGGGCCCGGGCCGCGGCCCCGGGGGCGGCACGAACTCCTTGACGGCGCCGGGGGGGGCCCGGGGATCCCCGCAGCAGCGCACCCGGTACACCGAGGCAGAGGAGCCGCTGCCCAGCGGCGCCTGCACCTCCCAGAGCCGGCCCAGCGCCTCCAGCAGCGGCGGCGCCGCGCCCCACGCGCACCCCGACATGGCGCCGTCCCGCTTCACATCGCCGTCCCGCCGCGGCCCCGCCGCTGTCCCGGCACCGGCCCCAGCCCCTGCCCCTGCCGCCGCTGCGCTCCGGCCGCCATGACACCGGAAACGGGGCGGCACGGCGGCGGCACCGCCCTCGGTGGGGCGGGGCCCTCGGCCCGGGAGCGAGCGGATCCCCCGGTACTCCCGGGCCCGGTGCCCTCTGCCCCGGTACGGGCGGAGTCCAGCGCCCTCAGCACTGCTGGGGGTCCTCAGCCCAGAGACCAGCCAGGGCTTCCGCTGGGATCGCGTCTCCCCAGTACCCCCGAGGTCCGGTCCCCTCAGCCCGGGCTCCAGTACCCTCAACAGCCTCGGAGTTCCGTCCCCTCAGCCCAGGCACCGGCGGGCTCCCATTACCGCAGCACCCCCGGGATCCGGTCCCCTGTGCCCGAGCCCAGCCATCACCCGGTGGTGCCAAGCGCAGCAAGGCAGCCACGTTCTCCATCCCAGTCTGGACACCACCAAATTCCCCCTCCGCCCCCTGGCTCCCCACCAGGATGGCGCCAGGGTCGCGCAGGGTGTCCTCTCAAATCAAGGGAATGCCACACATCACTAGGTACAAAAGACAAAAAAATTTATTGTGCAATCTGCATCTCTTGTCCCAAACCACACACACGCACCCTGACAACATAAATAGAGGGACTGGACTCTCACCGGCTGTGAGTGACAACCCTCAAGGGGAAGGTTCCCTTGGGATCACAGCGATTGAAGATACTGGTTCTTCAGAGAGAGAGGCTACAAGTCTTGGTTTCCATCAACACCTACACTGCAGTGCAGACCTGGGCAGCACACACACACCCCTGTACCTGAGGGTGGAGGTGGCCATGCACAGTGTGATCACATTGTCAGGGTGAGTGACACCTCAGCACTGAACATGGGTTCTGTGCAACTCTGCGTCCCTTCACTCTTGAGCAGGGCTTTTCCAGAGCAGAGAGCTGCAGGGCCCCGGTGCCACTGTGGCATCCCCACACCAACGGCAAGGACATGGTGGCTGCTCCCAGGGCAAGGGGATCCATGCTCACAGCTTCCTTCTTTCAGTGGGATAGCATGGCTTTGGGTGGTGGAAGACATTTCTTCAGCCCAACCACCCTGTATGGCCCAGAAGGAACCGTGAGCAGGCCCATCCATGAGCTCCTGGGTTCCTCCAACCCAACCTGGGGCTTTGGAGCTTTGCCTCTGAAAACCACCTTTGTGGTGAGGATGTACATAAAAGCTCTAAGCAAAAAGTTCCATCTCACAGCTGCTGCCTTGCATTGACAGAGATGTCCCCAGGCTGGCTAATCCCTCCTGTAATCCATGGCAAAACACTCATACAGTAGTATCCCAATATATCAGAGGACCTCCCAGTATAACAGAGGACCACGTGGCTTTGTGTGTCCCAGTCTTGCAGAGACCACTGTACCAGGAAATAAAGGGGAGCAGTGACACTGACACACGGAGAGGGCTGCCTGCCTGGACAGCTCTGTCCATGGTGGCTGGGACGAGACCAGGAAACAAGAAGGAGGTGGAAGGGAGTTTCACAGAGAGCTCAGCTCCCTGCCAGAGCCCACTGGCCAGCAGCTGTGCAGCCCAGGTGCTCAGCCCTACACCCTGCCAGAGCCCAGGACTACTGCATCTGGGGCTCCAGTGCAAGGAGATGGCACTCAGCAGAGTAACACCACGAGGTCAGCACCTGCAGAAGGCCCTGGACACATCTGCTGTCCTGGTTCATTGGCACAAGGGCTGGGTGAGCCTGCTGGTACCCCAGGACGGGGTATCTCAGCAAGCACATGGTGTAAGCTGGGAAATCCTCTGGACCAAGGCAGCCAGTGCAGACACGGGGAAGCGTGTGGTGCTTGTGGGATGCTCACAGGATGCTCACTCCAGCAGAGCCAATGGGGTTTGGGGCAGGCTGGCACTTCTACCCTCACGCACCCCCTTGGTTCCCAGTTCAGCAAGGCTCCTGGCTGCAGACAGGGTGGCAGTGACACTGTGGCAGGACAGGAGCTTGGCACTGACTAGGGTGAATAGGGGGCCAGAATGGGGCTGCAGAAGCCATGGCAGGACAGGCTGTGCCCCTCCTGGGAATTTGGGGAGAAACAGGTTGTCATGGCTCCCCAGAGCCCACACTGAACAGCAAATGGCTCATTCCACTCCAAGACTTGCCCCTTTCCAAACTAATCACCCCAAAAAAGGCAAGTGGCAGTGAGAGACAAGTCTGGGAGAGGCAGCCCCCATATCACCCTTGTCACAGCTACCCACTGCTACTCAAAGGACAGTAGGTCGGGATGGGCCCCCTCCACCTCCCAGCCAGAGGCACGTGGCTCTGGCCGCCCTGTGCTCCCTGGTGGCTCGTGCTCCAGCCCCTGTCTCCGTGAGGGCTTCTCTGTGCTGGCTGACATCTCAGTGGCCCTCTCACCCACTTGCCACTGGTTCTCCTGGCTGCCCTTATGGATGAGGTCGGGCACGGGTAGGGCACTGGTAGGCTGGTCCCCGCTGGGCTCTAGGGCACCTGTCACACTGAGGACACCAGGGCATGCTGGAGGAGACGGGTCCCCCATCCCCGACTGCTCCTCTGTGGGCTCAGGGTGAGCTGGGGGTGGTTCGGGAGGCTCCTCGGTGCCACCCCTCGTGCTGGTCCCCTCCGGCTGCGGAGCAATGAGCATGTCCTGGGGGGTCTTCAGGGCACGCGGTGTCCGCTTCTTGGTGATGGGGGGCGGGGGCTCCAGCCGGGGAAAGGCCTCCAGTCCCACAGCCCTGCAAGCACAGAGGGACAGCTGCATACAGCCCCATGCCGGGCCCCTCCAGCCTGTCCCAATGGCGCTGGCACGGGGTGCACGCTGCGGGGACACTCACCCGTGCTCAGCGGCCGGCTGTCCCGTGCCCAGCACGGCGCCCGCGCTGGTGTTCACCTCCATGGCTCCCACGGCGGGCAGGCCGGCCGGCTCCCTGCGGCGCAGGAGGTCGTTCACCTTGGCGCCCACGGCCTTGCCCAGGTTGCGGAGGTGCTGGCTGCCAGCGGGCCGGCAGGGCTGGGGCAGGGTGCCCGCCGCGGCAGGGACGTGCTGTGCCCGTGGCGCGGGTGCCGTGCCAGCGCTGGCGTTCTCAAACATGCTCTGGTCCACTGGAGGGGGTAAGGAACAGAGAGGATGTGAGTCAGGCTGGAGGGGGATCCCAGCAGGGCCGGCCCAGCAGCACCGCAGGAACACAGTTTTGGGGGACTGGGAGGATGGTCCTACAGCCCTGCAGAGGCTGTGGGCAGCCAGGCGATGCCAGGGCTGCACAGGGCAGTGCATGCACAGGGGACCAGTGTGGGGCAAGAGAGGGCAGGAGTGAGCCAAGGGCCCCACAGTGGCACTGCCAACACACAGAGAGCTTCTCTTACCTGACACCAAGCGACTTGGGAAGCAGGTTGTGGAAAAAGAGAGAGTGAGAAAGCATTTACCAGGGGAATGGCAAGGGACGAGGCCTCTCCCTTCCACACTGCCAGGTGAGGCGTGCTGCCAACCCCCTGCTCAGATATGTCATGCTACCTGAAGAGATGGGACTCACATGGGGGTGAGTCCCTTGTCAGCCCCACCCTGATAAAGCCACAGAGTCTTCTCTTGGGACACCCATGGCATGGGCTCTGCACTGGGCTCCCTCAGCTCAGCCCAGGCTGGGTCTCTGTGGTGGGTGGCAGCAGGTGCTTGCAGAGGAAAGGGCTCTGCAATCAAACCCCACCTCTTAGCTACACTGGATTCCTCCACCATGTCTTCCCAGCAAGAGTTCTTGAAGCTGTGGGGGCTGCCCCCAGGAATGTCAGCTCAAACCCCCATGGCTGCCTCTATGTCAGAGTGGGTCTGTGTGATGGCTCCAGCTAGTTCCTGGGTGAGCCTGGTGCTGTTCTGGGGCCTTGCTGCCCATCAGCATCCTCTGCCCAACTCTACCTCTGCATCCGGGGGCACATACTGAGACAGAGACAACCACCTCCACATCCCATGGCACAGGCAGAGAGGAAGGGTTCCCAGCACTGCTCCAACCTTGTGATGGGCTGGACTCTTACAGGGACTCCCAACTCACTGCAGGCCCTTTCCTCTGCATTCTGTGGCCCCACAGTCCTGCTGAACAGCGAGCTCCCCACCTGCACCTGCAGCATCTACCAGCCCTGGGGTTCATCCTACAGCTATCCATCTGCACCAAGAGAGCCACCCAGCAGTACGTGGGCAGCTTCTCCTCCAGCCTGCTTTCAGAAGTGTGAGCAGCTTTCAGAAGTGTAAGCAGCCTGACAACTTCTTGAAGAGCTCTCTTCTGGCTCCTCAGACGACTTCCAGCCTCTGAGAGGGACAGGCTGGCCAGCAGCAGAGCCAGCATTATGGTCCAGGACAAACTCACTGCTTCTAAGTGCCAGCTTGCTCCAGCGTGGCTACCAGTGCATGTTGTGCTGCCCCACCTTCCCCACACCACGGCTGCTCAAGACCCAGATCCAGCACAGCTCCCAGGAGGGCTACACCTTCGAGAGATTCTACTGCAGGCCCGAGGTCCTGGGGGAGCAGGAGGTCAAGGCACAGGAGGCTGCAGCCCCCGGGGTGTCCGTGCAGCCCCAGCAACCAGGCGGCTGCCACGGGAGGGCACTGCTCCATCACTCCTGCCAGCAGCACATTGAGCTGTTTCAGGAGCAGTCAGCTCCTGCCAGTGAGCTGCTTTTGTCTACACAACACTTCTGCCATCCTTTAAGAGAGGCTCTTCCCTATTTTTCCTTCTCCAGCTGCCAAAAATTTCCCGAGCCCCTGGAAGTGCCGATTAGCATCTCTGCATCTCTGTGGGGAGCTCTGCAGATGCCAGGAAGTCCCTGGAACCCTCCAGCTGTTGGATCAGCCCTGAGACAAGCCCGTGCTGTGCAGTGGCTGAAGGGCAAGACTGAAACACCTCTATTCCCAGCAACATTCTGGGCATCTTGCTCTCGTGGGCATCCTGTGGCTAGCACCACAAGCAGGGGTCCCACAGGAGAGGAAGCTTAGGTTGGAGGGGGTCTCTGCAAGGCCAGAGGATGCCACTGCTGGTGCTGGCACCCAGCATGGAGAGGGAAGGAAGTACAGAAAGAGAGAATCAGTGAGAAGAAAGAGACAACAGAAAGCCTTGAGAAATAGAAAGATTTATTTAGCAAAAGCCAGTTGACTAATGACAACACCCAAGGGTTAAGTGCACTTACATTGACAGATTGGCTTTCCAGATAGATTCAACAGTTAGTAATATGACAGTTGTAGGAAAAGAAAGGACAAAAAATATAGCTATAAAACCCCTGTCAAGGTCCATAACAAAAGTGAGAGGCTAGAGAAGAGTCTTGGAGGCAGCACTGACTTAGGAGGGGTCATTTACATGTGTACATGCATGGTGCAGCATGAGGCTGGCAGGATCCCACCTGGCCCCAGCAGCACCCCCTCGGCCTGCGGGGCACCTGCCCCTGTCCCCTGTGGGCAGAGTGTGGGGCAGCAGCCTGAGGCCACATCTGGTCCTGACAGCCCCTCACGGGACACAGCCTGAGCTCTGTGTGTGCAGCAGGGATGGACTGCAGCAGGGGCTCAGGAGATGGCTCCTCCAACCTGCTTCCTGAGGCAACCCAGCCTGGAAGAGACCTCTGGCCAGTTATTGCTCCTCTTGGGCTCTCCCTTCACCTGCCCCGTGTGTACAGCTGAGCTCCTGCTGTTCTTTCCCCTGAACGATCTCTCTGCCCACATGGAAATCCCTGTCCAAGCTCAACCATCCCTACCCTGTAAGTACCATGCCTTGTGCATGCTGTCATGCTCCCTTCTTCCTCCCAGCTGGACCAACCTCGCACCCTTGCTTTCACCTTCAACTGCTGCAAGCTGGCAGTGGCACGTCAGGTCCCTGGCAGAGGGGCTGCCACACAGCTGTGCCCACAGCCACGTGGCACAGGGCACATGGAGGCAGTGGTGCCTAGAGGACAGGAGCACCATGTACCAAACAGCGCCCTCTCCCACTGCCTGCTCTGTGGCTGCTGCAGAGCTCCCCTGGACACCAGGGCACTGCTGGGGACACTGAAACATGTCCTTCTCTCCTTCCCACTAGACCCTCTAGCACCTTAAGTCCACCCAGTCCTGTTGTGTGGTGGAGGATGCATAGCACAGCTTGTGCTGACCCCAGGGCTCTCATCCACACACTCCTCAGCAGCTCTCAGTCCCAAGGGGACCAGGGCAGAGAGAAGTGATGGACTTTCCTCAGCAGCCAGGCTAAGCCCTGGAGGAGAGCAAGAGGTGGTGTCAGCCAGGGGTTAGTTGCAGGCAGATTGAGCAGAGACAGAACTGGCAAAGGTGAGAGCAGCAAGGAAGCAACAAAGCAAAGCAGAAGCAGGATAGGAGGGAGGATGGGGAGGAAGACAACTGTGCCAAATCCCCACCTCATCGAGTGCTTCCACATGAAGCAGGGTGGACATCAGGACTTTGGTTCATACCCCTTCCAATCTTGGCCTCTTAGAGGCTCAGCACCAGACAGGTGATAAAAGTGTTTGCAGAAAAGGAACAAGTTCTGGGTCCCTTGGAGGCCCCCACAGATGGCTTTCAGCCATAAGTGTCTTGAGATTCAGTTTTCCAGAGGGTGCAAACCAGAGGTGTGATGAAGCACCCTTGCAGACACCAGCAGTTCACTCCCCATTGAGGGCTGGAAGTGTGCTCATCCCTGAAGGTGCCAATGCCAGCACTGCAGATCCCAGCCTTGGTCTGGGGCAAAACAACTGCTTGGAAATGGGAGGGTTTGTCTATAAAGCAAAGCAGGCAGTTTGTGGTGATTGGAAGTGCTTGAAAATGTGACTTGAGAGCATGAAAAAGGCTTTGAAACCTGGCAGCTGCGCCAAGGAGCCAAAGGATTAGATGATGAGGGGGAGGACACTCCACAGCTTGATGCTGCATGCCCTGGCTCCCTGCTCCACACTGCGCTGTGCCTTCCTCTCTGGTCCACAGCCTGGCAGAGGAGCAGGCTCTGCCTGCACGCCCTCCACCTGCCTTGGCATAGATAAACCATGTCCTGAAAGAACCACGTCCCCCTGCCAACCACTACCTGCACCTGGCCAGCCTGTGCAACCTCATCTCACCTCTTCAAATCCTTTCCAGGCTCATCCCCACTGCCCCTCAATGCTCACTTCTCACTCACAGACCCACTCTGACAGTGCACCATCACCAACCCCCATTTAGCATGGCCCTGTACTTGTGTCCCACCCTGCCCACCATGCAGAGAGCCAGACCAGCTGCTCTGTCCTTGCTTACCATCTTGGAGCTGCCCCCTCAGTCCCTCTTGTCCCCGCTCATTGCCCTAGACTGCTCTCCCATTTCCCCAGTAAAAGCCCTCCTCTGCTTTACTGCTTCCCCAGCAGCAGCAGAGGCTAATCCAGGAGAAGTCCCTTACCTCTGCCTGACCTTGACAGTTTGAAGGGAGACGGGGCCGGGGGGGAGCACAAGGAGCTGTCAGCTCTGTCTGCTGCAAAGCAGGGATGCTGCAGCTCAGCACACAAGCCCACACGTGCCGGAGCACAGCATGCCCTGGGCACGGCTCCATCCTCACCTCCAGACACTCCTGACTGGGCGCTGGAATCTTCCTGCTCCCTCCTCTGGCCCCTCTCCCTCTGGGCTGTGCCATCCCTGCCAGGGCCATGGGGCTGCGGCCAGGGTCCTTCCCAGCTCCAGCAGGCCCTGGCTGCCCTGCACCACCTCCTGCTGACCCCTACACCGCAATCTCGTCCTCCAGGCTGTCGCCCAGATCCTGCCTGGGCTGGACGTGGAGCAGGCGCGGCGGTTCCTCCTGGGACCAGGAGTCGCGCTCCTCGCTCTCGTCCGTGTTGGACTCGTACTCGGAGGCGATGCCCGACTCGCGGAACTTGATGAGCTCCAGGCTGCCCAGGGCTGGCTCCGGGGCGGGCGGCCCCGAGTCCGGCAGAAAGCGGTAGCACTCCAGCTTCACCAGACAGTCATTCCTACCTATGGGGCTGCCCATGGTGCTGGGGAAGGCCGAGCTGGGGCCCAGCGACGGTGGGTGGGTGTCCTCGGGCTGCGGGGTGGTCGGGTCGCAGAGGACGGGGAGGGCGTTGGAGCGGAAGGTGATCTCCAGCAGACTGTCCTGGGAGCCTGCTGCAAGAGAAGGGCACGGCTAAGAGGCCCAGCTGGCCACCACAGCTGGCTGCACACTGGTCAGAGGAGGACAGTCTGGGGTCATTTGAGTATCAACCTCTCCACTCCTGCTGTTTTGAGGGGTTTATTTAGTGTCACTAATGCCAGGAGCTGCTGCTGGCCAACGAAGGGCCAGTTCTCCAGGACAAGAAGTTAACTATCTTCCAGCCCAGCTCCTGCAGAGAGCTGATGGCCACATCTCTTGGAGATGGAAGGTCAAATAGGGGCTCTTGGGCAGGTATGGAGCTGGCCTGGAGCATGCAGCCACTGGGGAAAGCGAACATACAGCTGATGGAGGTAGGTGACTACCTGTCCATACAGCCCTTCCCAAGCCCCTTCCCATGCTGCATGCATGCACACACACAAGCCAGGCCAGAACGGCACAAATATCCCTCTGAATAAAATAACTGGAAATGCACACAGAACCCCAAGAAAAACACCTGCATGCATGTCCCCCACAGGCCTGGCTAGCTGCAAGGGGAGAGGAATGGGCGGCAGCACTTACTGGTCGTGTTCCCCGCCAGCTTCAGCTCCAGCTCCTGCACCTGTTTGACCAGGAGTGAGATGTGCTGCAGCAAGTCCTTGTTCTGGAGCAGGAGCTGGTGCACACGAGCCTGGGCCTCCAGCCGTGCCGCTGCTTCTGCTGCCAGCTGGTCCTTCAGCAGGTGGACCTGGACAGGATACAGCAGGTGAGCACAGGCAGATGCTGCTCGAGGGTTGAGGGCTTCAACTTTGGCCGTTCCTGCCCATCTCCCAGGGCTCACCAGCATCCCAACCCATGATGTGATGAAGCAGCCATTCCCTGCAGGTACTGCAGATGTGATGGGGAGTGTGTGGGTGGTGTCACACTGGGACTCAGCACATTGTCCCCTGGCCTCCCTGATGGAAAGCTCAAGGCCAGGCAGGCAGCACTGGCTGAACTGTCAGTGGTGCACGTGAGCTGCAGATGCACATGGAAAGGGCAGCCCAGGAGGGGCCGGATGGATGCAGCAGAGGAGACACACTCGACCGACTGGATGGTGCAGTGGGTGCACGAGGGCACAGCCTTGCAGCTGGCCCTGGAAAAGCTGTCTTTTTGGGAAGCTTTCCCAGAAACACGGCCCAGCCAGTGGCCTCTGTCCCAAGGAGGGGCTGGAGCACCACAGATGGCAGGCTGCTGCTGAGGGGTGCTGGTTCTCAGGTGCGAGCTGGCTGCTCAGCCTGGCTCTGGGAAGCAATGTCCGTGGGGAGCCCACGGGCAAGACCACCACTGATTTCAGCACAGGTACCTCTGTGCAAACATCTGTGTCCCCAGAACCATGCCCCCGAGGGCAGACAGCCCAGAGCTCCTGCCCAGGGCAGCTCTCTGATCTGCATTCCAGCAGGGAGAACTCCAGAAATGTACACTGCATAAGGGAACAGCAGTCACCTGGGGGCCACTTTGGCTCAGCACCCCTTCCTGGCACCTACCCACAGCTCCTACAACTGTTCCAGCAAGGACTGGAACCAGGAAAGCACAGATTTACAACTAAACAAACAAAAAAAAACCCCAAAACCCAAAAAAACAAAACAAAAAAACCCCAAAAAACAAAAAATCAAACAAAAAATTTTCCAAAACAAAAATAACCCAAAACCAAAAATATCCCCATCAAACACAAAAGGCTATTTTACTGTGCCCTAGAAAGTGACCTTGAGGAAGAAGAGGAAGCTCTCTGTACCTGCAAAGCTGTGAGCTGCAGCTGCAGGGCCCCTGAAGCTGCCCAGCTGGGGGCCATCTGCCCCCACAGATGGGTATCAGGAGGCAGTGCCAGCTGTGCCAGCGGGCAGCTGCTGCCCCAATGTGGCCAGCAAGGTGCCACAGCAGTGTCCCTGGCAGAGCCGAGCTTGAACACAGCGAGCCTGGGACAGGAGACCAGGCAAAAAGGACTGGGATTTACAACATGCTGCAAAGCCAGAGCAAGAGCAAGGGGTGCAATATTTTACACTTTAAGCAGGCACCATGGAGCCTTTTGGATTGTGAGCAACACCATACTTGGACAGACACAAAGGATTCCCCAATAATGCAGATCCCTCTTCCAGAGGGGAAAGCAACTTGGCAGTCTGTGACCCCAAAGGGCATGTGGGCTCTGGAGGCAGCAGCTCAGCCAGAACTGATCAACAAATACTGATTTACTGATGTGAGAGGAGCAAAGCCTGGCTGCAGGAGCAGGGGCAGCACAGAAAGGCTGCTGGAGCCCATCGCTTGGGCCATGAAAAAGTTGATGAATTGCAGCTAGCTCGGTGCAGGGTCAGGGAACAATTAAAGCTCAGGTAATGAGTTGGATAAAGCAGCCAGAGCTGCTTCAATGAGAAATAGCTGCATGGAGAATGAGCTGCCAGCTGCACAGTCCAGGCACACCAGTCACTGAAGCAGGGCTCTGGTGAGCAGACAGGAGCCAAAGGCCCCAGACACCTGGTGGCAAGCACCTCATGGAGCTCCCTCCCCATGGAGCTGCCTGCCTTCAACGCTGCCTCCAGGCAGGAGACTCCAGCAGCCCCAAGGGGTTCAGTAGTGTGTCCCAGCCCTGCCACTGTCCCTGGGAAAGAATGGAGGGGAGAACCTGTGCCACGGCCACTTGTGTCTGCTGCTGCTGCTGCTGCAGGAGTTGCTGGAGAAGCTGCATCTGGTGGTGGGCAGAGAGAGGTGTTCCCAGGTCAGGCAGCTGGGCAGACGAGGGCAGCAGCATCTTGGGTGACGCTGTCAGGATATCTTCAGGGTGGAGGCAGCTCTGCAAAACACCAGCGTTGAAGGTGTGATCCCCTGGCACTCACCTCAGAAAGCCACTGGGCACACATGAGCTTTGGCACAGAGGAGCCATGCTAAATACCCAGAAAAGAAGCAGCTGCATTCACAGCTAATGCACACTTTGCTGAGGGTGCTTACAACCTTTGAAAACAGTACTTTTTCAGTTTCAACAACAACCCACATACTTTTGTAGAAAATTCCCGAAAAGGCTGACACTTCCCATGGGAATTTCCACTGTATCAAAAAAGTCTTTTATTTTTGTGTCTTTGGTGGAAAAAAGTCCCTATCAGCTCTGCCCCAAACCTTTTCCGTGTGGCTGCACATAGCTGAGCCTCGGGACAGCTCTCTCCCCTGGGCCCCAGCCAAAGGGCAGCCTTGCAGCGGCAGATGGCTTTGATCCTGGAGCTGGGGAATGCTGCACAATCCCTCCTGACCCCTGGGCCCTCGGGATGCCGTCAGAGTCGTGGGGCTGGGGCTGTGCCACCCCCTGAGAGTGGAGGGCAGGGGCCCTGGGCTCGGCGTGGCACCCACCTCCTTGCCCACAGCATCGAGGTCGGTGACGCCGCGGCTGAAGTCCAGGATGTCGGCTCCGGGCAGCGGCAGCTCCACGGCGTCAATGTCGGTCTCCTCGGCGGAGGCGGCCGCTCTCTCCACGCCAGAGAGGCGACAGGCTGCAGGAGCAGGGTCAGGGCAGGGCATGGCCCCAGGAGCCCACTGCAGCTCACCCGTGGCGTGGGCAGCGATGCCCACCGTGGGTCCCCACCGCCCCTGTGCCACCCACCCTCTGGTCCCGGCGGGAAGCAGGTACAGAGAGACGTGGCTGCTCTTCCTGCTGCTGCTCAGGAGGAGGCTTGCAGCTAAAAACACACCCAGCCCCAGCACACCAAACCTGGGGAAGGGCAGCCAAAAGCCCTGATGTGGGACAAACGGGCCACCAAGAACAGAAAACACAGATAAAGCTGAAGAAAGGTAAACAAGAGATTACGGGAAAGAAAAACAAAAAACAGATGCTCTGAATTCCCCAGGGAGCTGCATATTGTGGCCGGGACATTGTGTGGAGGAAAACCAAACAATGACCGGTCCAGGGCAGCCCAATGATTAGATCATCAGAACAGCACTGGTTACAGAGGCGAGCAGGAAACTGCAGCCCAGCCCAGGCTGCTCCTGTTAGGATGTGGGGGATCCAGCCCACAGCATGGCAGGGCAGGGCAGGGCAGGGAATTCACACACACACAGGCAGCAGGACCTGCCAATGTCCCACCTGGCACTGAAAGGGTTTGACTAACCTCCCATAGAACTTCTGCCTCCCCTCCAACTCAGGCACTGGTGCCAAGGAGCAAGGCTTCTCCCTGGGACGCTGCTCAGGGTGATGGGGCTGGACCAGCAGCCCCCCAGCCAGGCATCCCTGCACCCTCTACCCACAGGGCTGAGAAGGAGCGGGGTCTGCAGCCTGCGTGCAGCCCTGACAGCTTGATGGGAGAGCACAAACACGGCTGTGTCCATTCTGGGAATTGCAGAGAGGACACGAGGAAGGTATGTGCTTGGGGCCCCTGGTGCGGAAGTAGCAAGGGAATGTTTGCAGCGTGTGCAGCCAAGCACAGAGCAGAGCCCCGGGCTCTGCTAATGGGCTCTCAGCAAGGGGGATGTCTGAGAGGATCATGGCTAACACCTACAGAAGGTTTCTTGCTGGGCAAGATCCCAGCTTGAGCCTGGAGCACAGCAGGCCAGATTGCTGTGCAAATCCATTGCCCAGAGGTGTCAGCCATCTAGGGGCAGTATGGGAAGGCAGTGCCTCTGTGAACCACATCTGCCAGGCTCTGGGGCCCCACACCACCCCCACACCTCCACCTCTGCAGAATACCTGGGACATCCAGGTCGTCTCCGTTCCTCTCGCTGTCTGCGTCCTCCTGGCCGTCGGCATTCTGCTGGGTGTGCTGCAGGCTCAGCTTGTGGCACACCTCGAACGCCTGCCCCACCGTCCGCACGATGCGCATGGCTTGGCTCTGCCGGGGAGGGCACGTGGAACTGCAGCTGGGCTGCCTCTGCACAGTCACCCCCCAGGCTGGCACAGCTCTCAGGGGTCTCTGTGCTGCCACAGGGTCTCAGATCCAAGGGGTCCTGCCCCAGCTGCTCCACCCAGAGTACACCAGGACAAGATGTGCATCCTGGCATCTTACCTTCTTCTTGGACTTGAAGACGTTGCACCTGAAGACATTGCTAGACCCATCCCTGGCAATGTAGCTGAAGATCTTTAGGTCCTGGGAGTCATGAGATACATAGAATATCCTGCAAGGACAGAATGGAAAGGAGGATATAAGCATACACATTACCCACATTCCCAGGAGACAAGGCCAAGGCCACAACCAATGCTTCCCAAGGCACAGGGTGCTGCAGATGCCCAACCTCTGCAGCACATCCCTGCTAAAGCCCATCAGAATTTTTTGGCAGTGGTTTTACCTCAGCTGGGAAAATTTGCCTGCTGATTCAGCAGCAGCAAACATTTTGCAAAGGCAGCACAGGACTTCTCTGCTCAGCCCCCAGGGACAGCATCAGCAGCCCAGGAGCCCTCCAGGGATTGAGAAGAGCAAACCCCACTCTGGCCGGCTCACAGAGCTGGATGCCTTGCCCAGGTGCCTGCCACCCCCTCCCCAGCATGGCTGGGGGCCTCTCTTGCTCCAGTTTGGCCTCCCTGGGACAGACACACCCTGCTCTTGGCTTTTGGGAAGAAGGAGGAGGAGGAGAGCTGGAGGATTCAGGAAGCTCCATGAGCTGCCCTCCGCAGGATGGTGGCAGCTCTCTAGTGCCCAGCACAGTGCTGATGTGGTGTGGGTAAGGGAGACAGCAGAGCCACACAAGCCTCTGTCCCCTCACCCAACAGCCTTACCTGTAGATGGGATCATGCATGACGAGCATTTTGTTCTCGTCCCAGGCCCATTCTTTTTTCTGCAATGAAAGAAGCTGAAAATGAGTACGTCAGATGCTGTCCTTGAGAACAAGGACAGGGCAGAGACAGTCCAGGGACATAGTCGGGAAGTTCCTGTCACAGCTCTGCTGCTGCTCCCCTGCAACCCTTTGCCAAGGGTCAGGTCCTTTTGGGGACCAGCCACATCCCACATCACCTCCCACAGGGCCCCCTGAGCCCCTTCTGCACCACACCAGGACTGGCTCAGCCACACTGCAGGAACATGACTCACACAAGGCTGACCCAGCCCATGCCTCCCTCTCCCAGACCACCAGTTTCCCACAAGTTCAAGGATGCTGCAAGGTCCCTGCACCAGGAGGGGAGGGGCTCTGCTGCTGAGGCACTGCTGCCCCAGGGACCAATGCTACCTACCTTCTTCTTCTTCTTCAGAATGACCTTCACGCCGTCCACTGACACGATGAGATTCACTTTCTTCTTCTTGATATTCTTGGCTTTAAACTCATACTGCGGGAGGTGGAAGAAAACACCTGAATTAGCCTTCCTGTGCCAGGACAGCCCCAGGGAGGGGCAAGAAGGACAGGGGCAGGTTCTCCTGTCTCCCACATCAACCTTGTACATCCATGCTAGGACAGGACAAGGGGTCTTTTTGCCCTGCAGGGCCCAGCATCTTGGAGGAGCACACAGCAAAGCAATCCAGCCCCTGGATGTGGATAATGCTTTACCCAGTTCAGGATGCTACTGGGAATGTTAGCTTGTGTTTCAAAGACACTTGGTCTGCCCCTCTGAAGGGCTGTGGCTCCCCAGAGAGGGACCACCACACCCCCAAGGATCCACAGCCTGGCTGCGCTTGCCCCCCTGGCTTGTGGCCATTGCTGAGCTCTGGAAAGTGAAATGCCATTCTGAGCTGGGTATTTTTGGGCTCAGTATAAAACTGAAGATGATTGCTGAGGATTCTGAGGACACCTCCGTGGGATATGGGATAATGCAATTATCCACCTCAATTAGAAGTCATCGGACAGGAAAAAATCCCAACAGGAACTTCCAAAGATCAGTGACTAAACACAAAGCTCTGCTCTGGCCTGGGGAGAGAATCAGATTCCCCCAAATCCACCCACTTTGGTATTTAGTGTGTTACAAGTGGAGAGAAGGCTGGCAGAGGAGTAGGCCCAATAAGCATGATCCTGCTGTGGGACTTTTGAGGAGTCCCTCCCACGACTGGTTTGCCACAGGTGTAGCCACATCAGGCAACTGATATGTTGGTCCCACTTGCAGGGAGCTGTGCACAGCCATGGGGACAGACCCTCTGTGCCAAGAAAAAGCCCTGCATGCTGCCCCTGGCCTGCCTGAGGCAGAGGATTTGCTTTATCCTCTCAGCATTTGGGCAGTGTCTCTGCAGAGGGAGCGGTGCCCTGCCCGCGCCAGCCTCGCTGTGACATCTCCAGCACAGCGTGATGCATCAGCTCTGGCAGCCAGAGCCAGCAGGCAGGAAAAGCTGCTGGCCCTGACCTCTGAGCAAATGATAAAAGACCTGAAAGCACAATTACTCAAAGCCATTTAAAGTGGCTGAAGGGGATGGGAGATTCAGAAGGCTTGGGAAACAGTGCAGGGAACGCAGCTCTGCCCTCCCCCAAGCACTGACCGGGCAAGCCCACCCACACTGGGGCTGAAGCCATGGTGATGGGCTGGAGAAAGCAGAGGTCAGGCTCCCAACGTGGCTTTGGTCAGCCTCAAAGCCCCCAGCACATCCCCACATGCTGCTTGCATGGCATATTCCACATGGAGAAGGGTCTCACCAAAGAACCCACCAGTGTAAGCTTCCAAGTGCCATCCCCATCACTACCAGCAGAGATGAAACTGCATTCAAGACTCCCTTCTTTGTGTCTTGTCAGGACACTAGACCAGTGCCTGGTACCTAACACTAAAGAAATGTCTTGATTTAGTCCTGAAAAGGTGAGCTTTGGCCTGACTACCTTGCAGTAATTATCCCAGTCCTTTCTGAGGCTCTGCATGTGATCTTCCAGGAGCTGCAGGCTGATCTGGAAGCTCTATGCAGCATCCAGGGTGACTGCATGGCACCTTGGTGCTGATGCCTGATGTATTGGTCCTAACAAATCACTCATTACACACATCCAGTTGCATTTTGGAGCTCCTGGTGCTGTGGGGTTTCTATTCTGTGCTACCCCAAGTGCAACTGATGTAGGCTTGGAAGAGAGAAAAATATCTCAGGGTAAGACAGACTATTTTTAGTATGTTTTTTGAGTGAATAACAGCCCCTGGACAGTGATGCAGACAGGCCAGGCGGTTTCAGCAAAGATGCTACCCAGCTCTGGCACGTTTCAGGGACAGAATCATACAGAGCTCCTTGGAGAGCCTTCCACAATCCCTGACTGCAGGCAAGAGATTCTGCCCAGGCTCACCCTGAGCTTGGCACTGGGGAGTGCCGTGGGAAGAGCTGCTGAGCCTCTGCCATGCTGAAGCCAAAGCCCCCTTGTGCCTGGGTCACAGCAGAACTCCAGCAAAACCCATTGGAAGCAAAGAAGTCAAATTCTCAGAAGGAATGAGCAGAGAGATTTATTAAGCCCTTCCATAAATCCAGGCCTTTATCCTGACACCGACTGGAGAGCCAAGCTCCTTTGCAAGCCTGAGCCATGTGCTCAGAGAGCTGCTGCCCATCCCAGCCCTCATTAGAGCAATCAGCCCAGCGAGCCCTGTGGCTCCCTGGGACGCTCCCCAAGCTCTGCAGCGCAGCTCCATCCAGCAGCACACTAATGAACTCAGCCCACGGGGCTCTAATGCAACACTAACCCTGACTCAGGAACAAATCAGCCAGGAGGAGCATTCAACAGGACAGCAACTCAGCCCAGCTGCCTCTCACATCCCGGGGCTCTGCAGGAAAGCATGCTGGGTCCCACAGGCCAGGAGATGCCAGTGCTAATTTTGAGGGGCTTCTTAATTTGGTCTAAGGAAGTGTCAGCTTTGTGCAGCTCCTCTGAGTGAGCCACAGAGACTGCAAGGGGTGAAACCAACACCCTTAACGGGCCATGGAAGAACAGCTGTACAACTGATCAGACCTCCCTGGCTTGGAGCTGTTCTTGACCACTGCTCTGCCCAGGCACAGAGATCTGCTGTGCCTGCCCATGTTTGTCAGTGTTCCTCCTTCCGCTGCAAAACAAAGAGAGAAAGCTTAAGAGGGCTGCAAAGCCTTAGGATTTAGCTGTTCTTGCTGCTGGGAGGAGAGCAGAAGTGATGATGGCAAGGTTGGAAATGCCAAAGGGTCTCTGAGATGGTCTGCACAGCCACAGCCGCTGCTGCTGCACCCAAAATGAGCAGGCACTGGCTGACCCCCAGGAAAAGGAAACCCCCATGTTTCCACTGCCACCCAATCCTTGCTGGGAGTATATCCTGCATTCCCAAAGACGTGCAGTAGGAACATCTGTGTATTTGGGTGCAGGGAGCTGGGTGGCAGCAATTCACCCCACACTCGCTGGGCACTGCACTGGGATTTGGTGACTGCCTCAGGAGAAAAACCACATTTCATATGTGATTAAGCTCAGCCACCCATGGCTCCCTCTTGGAGAGCTGAATCCTAGCCTACAGCTCAATAAAGAACAGATACAGAAATAATTATCCAGCTTGAAATCAAGAAAGGAAAGAGGATTTGCTCAGCATTCCCATGATCCCCTTTGCTTTCACACCATGCAGGATTTCACTGTATTACTTATAACCAATTAAATGCCGTAACAGAAGAGCTTTCTGAGCTTTCAACCCAGCCATTTTGCCCATCTTGGGTATGTTTCTGGACCTTTAAATATCTTTAATAATACTACAAGCTTGGGTTATTTATATTAATCCTTTTTTATAGCTATGTAGCAATGCCAGAAGAAAGAAAAGTATTAATTTCAGGAAAATACACAGAAAAGGAAACAACAAAATAATCTGTTCCTGGACTTGCACAGCTCCCCAGTCTCCCACTGAAGCTCTAAGAGCTGCATTAAAATTTTTGAGGAAAGACTGAAAATGGACATCTGAGATACATCAGTTAAAAAGCCCTGCAACTATTTGAGAAGAAAATCAAAGGTGGTCTCAGTAATGCAAAAGAAGTACAAGATCACTTATAAAATCCAACCAACTAAGTGAATAAAGACTATCCCTTAATTTTCCCCTGCCTACAAAAAAAACGCATTCATCTTTTCAAATGGAAGAGAAACATCTATTCCATCAGAGCACAGGAGCCTTCCCATCAACCTCAGGTTAGTGGGAGTCTATTTTCAACATCTGTCTTTTGTGCAGAGTTCAGTATTTAAATAACTTTGGAAGGAAAAGAAGCCAGCTGGTGTATGCATCATTGTGAAATACACTCCTACTGGCAGAGCATTAAAATTGCCCTTTCTGGAGAACTGAGCTAACATATGTTGCTTAATAGAGAGCGCATGTAACCTTGTCAGCTTGGAGTAAAATTATGTATGAATCCAAGAGCGACGGCTACGTGTGAAAAGCAGGGAAAACTCAGCATCCCTAGAAAGATGCAACTCATCCCTATCAGGCTGTTTCCACACAGCAGAAATGTGAGAAAACTCGTAACCACACACTGCATGCAAGGTCAGGCAGATCAGGCTCTGAGGAGGAGAGATGATGTTTTTCTAGATCCATCATCCCCCCACATTCACAAGCATCTGAAAAATGTTAACCTGAATTAAAATGCCCTCATTTTGTTCCAGCCCATCTAAAGTGCCTTAGGTACAATTTAAGTCTGCCCACTAGCACTGTCTGTAAGTAAGGGAAGGTACCAGGAATGTACCTGGTGGCATTGTGGCAGCAGAATACAAATAAACAGAATATTTTTTAAAGGAAGTTGCTCTAAGTGCATTGAGTTGTCCCTGTTCCCATCCACCCTCTATCCCCCTCCTCAAAACAAAACAAAAAGAAGAAAAAGGTTACAAGCTTGTACCTTGTATTGGGGAAAGAGCAGTGTTTTGAGAATTCAATTAACAGGGAAAAAGCAATTCCCACAAAACTCAATGCTGCTCTGCTACCTCGGGAGGCAGGAGACAAAAATCTGCCATAAGAAAAAGCACAGAAGAGGATGCAAATTTTGCCAGAAAGCTGTATTTCTGTGTGTTTATGCAGAAAGGACATGGAACCGTGAGCAAAGCTGGGTCCCCCTGCAGCAGTGGGCTGGCTGGGCAGGACCTGCTGGGAGCACCCTCAGCTCTCTGCTCCCTGCCCCTGGTCGTGCCCCCCAGCTCCTCCTGCAGCTGGCTGGCACAGCAGCTCATAAAATTCTTAATAAAATACCTGCCGAGTTAGATTTTAACCCCGGGTCAGCCTGGGCTAATGGCAGAGCAGCGCCGCTTTCCCAGCAGTCAGGGGAGGAGCGGTGCTGTGCTCTGCTGAAGAATTAACTCATTACAAAATGACAGCTGGGATCCAGTTCAATGGCTTCACGGTGCCAGGAATGAACGGCTGGGGGGAGGCACATACCTCACAATTCCTGCTGCTGAAAA